GGCATTTCGCATTAGTAGGTACACGTACGTACTAGATACCGTGTATGTGGTTTACCCGTGATCAAACCCCGCATACATATGATAATCACATCTACATCTACGCACATGACCGGTCTTAGATTGAGGCCCTAATAGTCTTAAAAGCAGTGTGGAGTAGTTCCAGCAAATAAGCAAAGGAAAATAAGAGAGCAAATGAAACTAGAGAGGTTCGATACATGGCCAACAGCAAGGCATATAGCTACGACAGCACCCTCTGTCAGAACGAAGAAGCCTTCAAGACGAATGCCTAGCCTATGTTCTCTCGTCGAGAAGCGCCGCATAGACAACGACCTTCCTGGTGATGTACTGCTCAACCAGCGACTTGTCCTACACTTTGACCAAAAGCTTCCACAGCTGCAAAAGGATGACATGTTTGTAAATGAGGTCAGCTGGATGCTTGTATACCCTCTATTAGTGCTTTTGTTCAAGAATGACTTTTTTCGAGAATGACCAAAGTTCTCTCTATTAGTGCTTTGTTACGAGAGGTCCATAATGACCACGCCATAGCAGCAAAACCCATCCATGCTAACTTTCGCTCACTACCATTAGTCCCTTGAATCAAATGATGTATAAGTCTGTGAAAATCCCCAGGCTCCATGAGCACCATGTGGCTTCGCGGACTGCACTCCACGAAAAACGAGCAAAATGCACCGGAAAAGGATAAGCTCGCAATCCACCTTTTCCCTTCATCAGACGCATTTACCACCGTTGGCCCCTTTCGTTTACGCACTTGGTCCCCACTTGGGATTCTATTCTGTGCCACTTGTCACAGAAAGATCTTAATCTTAGTTGGCAGTCGAGCTTTCCAAATACCCATCCAATCACAATGAGGGTTAGCTTTAAATATTTCCCTATACAAAGAACCCATGGAAAACAACCCTGAAAGGTTCAACGGCCACGATATCTCGCCCGGCTCCTCCAAAAGTGTAATGCTCCTTAGCTCGTTGCATAAATCCTGCCACTCAATCCTCTTGGCCTGAACCATAGTCCGCTGAAACCTAGGGAAGGGGGGGGGGGCAATTATCCCCTACCGAACACTCGGCCACCATGGCATTTGGATTGTCACATGTCGCAAAAAGGTGGGGTAGCGATTTCATAAGACTACCCATAGTGGGGACTAACTTAGACATGTTACTAGTCTATGTTACTATCTCCATAGTGGGGAGTAAAATGTGTGTGATGTCATGCAACACTTCATTTATTAGGTTGTAGACTCATCTTGTCTTGGTATGTATAATGTTACTCATAGTGTGAGTAACATATTATGTTACCACATGCCTCCCTTTGCTCATTAATTACGTATCACGTAATCTATTTTGTCTAGATATATGTGATGTTATGAGCTATGTTACTTTCACTATTGATAGTCTAACGGTGTGTGCCTACACCAAACGTCCAACCAGAATTGGGACAGCCGCCCATGATTCACACTAAATCTAGTAGCCAAGTGCAATAGGGGTAGGACTTTCTTCTCTGCCCTGGCGAATTGAGACTTCTTTGCTATGGGTTTGACCTGCGAGCTCCCTGCAATCAAATATTTACTCCTGAATATATCCAAGCATAAGCCTCCCAGCTCTATTAAGATTTTTCATGCCCACTTGGCCACCAAACACCAATTCAAGATTTTTGTGTTAATGATCCCGAGACCCCCATTTTTCTTGGGAGAACAAATCGTCTCCTAGCTTTTTTTTTCTTTTTTTTTCGAAAAGGGGGGGTACCCCGGCCTCTGCATCAAGAATGATGCATACGGCCCTCTTATTAACCAAAGCAGCAAAGTGTGCATACAAGGTTCCATAGTCTCAAAATCAAACAAAGAAAATGCAGCCCATATCGACACACAGACTAGCCAGAAATAAAATGCCACAACCGGCTGGCTAAAGAAGATAGGAAAACTAATTGCCTATCCTATTACATGACTGCCATCCAAACCGGTTGAAGATAACCCGAGCAGCCATCTCCCATCGGGTAGACCCAGTAACCAAATACTCCCTGGCCTCCATCGGAGTGAGTGACGACCACAAACGGATCAAAGCCGTAGCTCGGAATAGAACCTGCAAAAAATGAATTCGTGGTGTTCTGTTAAAAACCAAATCATTTCTGCACAACCAGATGGTCCACATTAACGCACAAACTCCCACCCGAATATGCCTTGCTAATGCAGAATCAATCCCAGAAAAAAACACAATCATGTGGTATTTTTGTTTTTCCTTTTTCTATCTCCTAGAAAAAAACACAATCTCCCTTTGTCAAATTGCTCATCATGAACCCCATCCTTTAGCATGTAGAAGCCCATTACGTATACAGGCACGGTGGTAAGACAAACGTTTAATAGTGTTAACCGTCCTCCCGACACAAGTAATCTGCCTTGCCAAGGCTCTACCCTGCCCGCTACCTTCCCAACAACGTGGTCAAAGTCCGATATCCCGAGGGCACGGTTGGCAACTGACATACCCAAGTATGCGATGGGTAATTGCCCATCTTGCAGTTCATGATATAATCTGCCCTAAAAACCGTGACTCCAAAGCTACGATCCCTCAATCTTCTCTTGTTTTGACTATCAATTAGATCAACCATATATGACTAGTGGAACAGTTTTAACATGGTCTCTCTTACCTCATCTTTTCACATTTTTTTTGGAAAAGGAGGATTTCCCCCGGCCTCTGCATCATGATGATGCATGCAGCCATATTATTAACCTCATCTTTTCACATGAGAGGCAAGAGTATAAAATAGATCTAAGACGTTGATCTCATTAACTAGTGGCCTGCTTAATTTTTACCTTCTTACCTCACATTTAAAAAGAGGGGAAAGAGGGACCATGTTAAAATTTGCCATGACATGTGTGCCATAAAATTATACCATTCTAAATGTATGTAATGCTATATTATCTTATGACATATACTTAGTCAAACTGAGCTGAACGCCATAGTGTATTTGTTGCGTTGCTCCCTTCAAGTACCGCACTAACATTTTTGTCAACCCTTGTTTGGCAAATGCTGCTCAGTAGAAATAAACAAGAAGTCCTTTTTACTGGGGATAAAAACTAAAAAGGAGGGTAAAATGGTAGCAGATCTGTCTGTGTGGTAGGCTGAGGTCCCTGCGTGATGGGCAGTATTTGGCAAAGAGCGAGGTGGTGGTCTCCATTGCTTCTCATGCACCTAGCTGCCTGCTCCACGGTCGGAAGATGATGAACTGTGGGCTGCTTCTCTGAAATTTCATAGGAAACAGTTCAATTATATTACAACAACGTAGCAAAAGAAATCTTTGCCGAGCACGCGGGAGTTATTTCTCTTTCTCGGAGTGAACTGATGTGAGAGCCAGAAATATTTTTCTATTCTCTGCATCCGCAAATATATGTAGCTACTGGCTTTTGTGCGGCGGGCTCCCATTCCATTTACTGCATTTGTGTGTTCATAAAATCTTGCTGCTTTTTTTTTGTGAGAAGGGGACCTGCACTCAATAATGTTCATGTATGGGCCATGACCGATAACTATGTGCTTGTGTTTAACCGATGGTTCCAAATATACGCCGCTGTCGCTTTGTCACCACATTGAATGTTTGTGTAACAGCAACATGTGCCCAGTTAGCACGTTTATACTAATGTTGCTAGTAAACAACACAGTGGCCAACTCCGTTGATATTTCTTGGAGTAGGATGAGTGGATTTTTTAAGCATGGGGGAACTGGAGCACTTCATTTTAAAAACCCCAAAATGTTATTTTGAAGTTTTAGTAATAACATATGTTTAAAGAAATATGTATGGATGTTCTCTATATACTTGTTAATTTTTGTCCAATAATAAAAATATAAAGATTTGCTAATTCTCTAATCCTACACTACTTGATTAACCAAAAAAATGAAAAAAAATCCCTTCGAATCTCCGCGTAAAATTCAAAACGGTGTACAAGTTAGATGAGACATAGTTATTTCTCATTTAGATGAGAGCTAGATACACCTAAAATATATTATAACCTACAAAAAAGAAAAAAAGGGTTAAAAACCTATTTTGAAGGTTTTTACATCTCACATACAAACCATGGAACTTGGTAGATATATAATACACATATATAGAAAATTTCAAAAATGCTAACCAACATGTGATTGGATGGTTAGGAGGACAGCGGTACCCCCATCCCACCAGAATTCAAGTCGTAGACTTGACATTGGTGCTTGCATTTTTTTTTTGAATTTTTTTTAAAAATTTCAGCTATGTGTGTTTAATGGGAGGAGACGTCCCTGTTGACCATGAAGGCGTCTCTGACAACTTCGTTAATCTTATCTTAAAATGATGTGCCGGCTAAGTCTCTCGATGGTGCACGTAGGGATAACGTGTGCTCAAAGTGCCGGTGCTCCAAAGTGACTCTTCAGTATGCGTACTGCATTGCATCGTGCTACTATGACTACATATACCTCAGTTACACACATTTTTATTAAAACTAGCTACTTGTGCGGTGCCCTTATATATGCCTTGTAATAGCATATTTCGCATACTCCCATAGGCCGGCCGGCCCTTATCCGTATACTAGTCCTTCGTTCTCCATGAATGCCTACGCTCTGCACTCGGTATCTTCCTTTTCTTCTTCACCCCCGTTGAGACCGGACCGGCTGCATGCATGCATGCTCATCTCTACCTCGTGAGCTATATAGATGGAGGTGAAGGCGAAGCCGGCGAGGGGCGGGAAGAGGAGCAGGGCGAGCGGCGGCATGGCGGTGGTCCTGCTGGAGAAGAAGGAGTCGGAGAAGGAGAGGAGGAAGCGCATGAAGGCGCTCTGCGAGAAGCTTGCATCCCTAATTCCAAGAGAACACTGCTGCTCCAGCACTGTAAGAACACGTACGCCTCTTCTCATTGCATGCGGCCGGAGCATGCCTGAGCAGCTTCATGGCCAGCTTTTTCACTCCATGTTTATCTAATTATCCTGTGCTCTCGTCTCGAAAAGGAATGATCTTTACTCGGAATGTTTCATTACTAATGGTTTTCTTTTTCACATGGGCAATCGAGTGATGCACATGGCCCTACCTTATCTAATTCAATGTTCTACAGTATATCCAACCGAAGAAAAACGACATAAGCGCCACGCAGGACCGTCATAGTAAAAAAGGTAACATCAACCAAAAGTAACAAGAAGATATGAATCCTCTTACCTCAGAAATCCTATTGCTAACACCGCAAAAAAAAAATCCATGCTAACCATATATTGATTGAATAAAATCCGACCGACCATCTCTTATCAGTTGCACCCAGAGACGGTGAACGCACAGTTCTCCTCCTGGCTCAAAAAAGACCATGTATGGATCCAATTAATAGCTTTGAAAATGACATGTAAAAAATTTGGAGTTTTCGATTGGTTAAAGAGTTGAAAGACAACTATCGCGGTAAGTTTCCTTAGCCAAAAGTAAAGCACAAACTTCAACACAAATCTGAGCTTTAATGCTAGGATGAATACCCACCAACTAGTACCCAAACGTATTCAAACTACTTGTAGGTGGAGATAGATTAAAGACAGCATGAAGTACATCATAATAATTTGGCAAGGGGGAACTGAAGGAAAATACACTGATTCTTCATTGCCGCAAAAACAACATTTTTTTTCAACCTTGTCACTCACGCTTCTTGTGGTTATTCTTAGTTAAGATCACTTTTCTACCTAGGTACCACAAAAAACAATCTTGATTTTAGTTAGAACTTTAAGCTTCAAAATATACTTGTGATGAAACGGCGGACCATCATTCACGAGGTCTGTATACATGAATTTCCGAGAGAAAAACGTTGGAGGAATTCAACTTCCAACTGGAAAGTGTCTTGTTCGTCATTGAGGGTGACTGTCATCAATCTATTGATGAAGTGCAACTAGTTCATCCACTTGTCCCGGATGAGAGACCGTCTAATTGCAACATTCAACGGAACATGTTCCAACACTGATGCAATAGAGGTCCCCTTCATCTGCACAATGTTTTAAAGACACGTGCATTGCAAAGCTAGAGGCCTGTTCCCCAGCCACGTATCCTCCCAACACCTTGTGGTTAAGCCATTGCCCATCACAAAGGATCCTCTACCAAAAAAATTACTTTTGACCCCCACAAACCTTTCCAAAGACGCGGATCAATGAGTTTGACTTGAACCCGAGACAAGGTTTTTTAGTGGAGATACATATTTCTCAACAACTCCTGCGAGACCCCATCATTAATAAGTAATTTGAACAACCATTTGCTGAGCATACACTTATTTTTTATTTTGAGATCCTCCAGACCAAGACCACCTTGGTCTATAGGTCTATAAATGGCACTGCATCTCGTTAGGCAATATTTGCTTTTGTTTTCATCCGATTGCCAGAAGAATCTAGATCTATAGAGGTCAAGTCTTTTCCTGACCTCTTTGGGAACCCCAAAGATGGACACATGAACATTGGTAAACTAGTTAGGACCAAGGTGTCTCTTCAGCAAATGGTACCACATATCGTTGAAGTTACTAACCAAGATGTCAAGTCTTTTCCAAACCGCTTTGGGTACCACATATCATTGAAGAAAACCCACAATTGGTCTTACATTAGATGATTTTGTAATTGAAAAGGTTTTATTATGTGTGGTTGTGCATCTAGATGCAAATTAAGACCAGTAAAAATAGAAATCTTCCATTTTCTAAAAAAAATAAGGGTTGTTTAATCCAAGTAAATCATGTCAAGAAATAAAAATTGAAAATTCTTTCACGTAATGTTTTAATATGGTTGTTCCTTAAATGTGTATGTAGGATACAATGACCCAGCTAGGCAGCCTGGACGTGGGGGCGTCATACATCAAGAAGCTGAAGGAGAGGGTCGACGAGCTGCAACGTAGGAGGAACTCTGTGCAGGCCTTGGATACCTTAAGAGGAGATACTAGCATCCCAACACCCACTACCACCACTACCACAAGCAGCAGTGCAAGGTCGCCGGAAGAAGAGAAAGCTTGGGAGGCATTGGAACCAGTATTGCAGGTGCGGCAACACGACGATTCAAGCATGGAGGTGAGACTGATATGTTGCATGGAGAGGCCGATCAAGCTCCATGAGGTGATCACCATCCATGAGGAAGAAGGTGCTGAGATCATCAATGCCAATCGCTCTGTTGCTGGCCACAAAATGTTGTACACTATACACTCTCGGGTACGTCTACATAGGTTCAACCTCTTGCTTTTGCACATAGCAAATAAATCTATGTTTCAAAATGTATGGTGCACAAGAGTCTTAAGGATTCAAGTTTTGGACAATAATTAATTACACCTATTAAATATAGTTTATATTATATGGAAATCATATAACTAGATTCGTATTCAAAAGCACCTGATTCTGAATGAAATGATTTTTGTGCCAAAAACAGTTTTCCCTTTTGGAACTTTGGATCAGTAGCCTTATAAAAATATTTGACCATAATTATTTGAGGGGTATCCATTTGTTTCTAGTGTAATATTACACTGAAGAGCAAAAAATAGGAACCATGGATTCCTCCCAATCATTTTCTTATAAGTTGTGGAACCATAACAAGTGGCAAAAATTTGGGAGGAAATCTAGCCAAAAAGTTCGAGAACAACTTAGATGTACATACGTGCCATACACATCTTAATATGTTTTCATTTTAGTGCATGTTTCTTTATTTTTCGTCTCTCTCTACTTTTTTTATGAGAAAAACTTTTGATCTATTCATCAAGTGTCAAGGTAGTACAAAGAACACAAGAAATAAAAAAATACATTCATGTCCGTAGACCACCTAGCGACGACTATAAGCACTGAAGCGAGCCAAAGACGTGGCTCCGTCATCGCCCCTCCCTCATCGGAGCCGGGCAAAGTTTGTTGTAGTAGACAGCCAGAAAGTCGTCGTGCTAAGGCCCCATGGGACCAGCACACCAGCAACTACCACCAATGAAGAGACGTGTAGGTAGGAAGGGTACAGTCTGGAGACACACAAACAAAGACAAACGAATACCAGATCCACGTCGAGCCACCGAAGACAAACACCGACCGAATCCCATGAGATCCGCTGAAGACAAACCACCACACGCCCTTCGATGACACTAGAAGCACCACCGGGTCTGGGTTAGACAGGGAGAACCTTATTCTATCTTCAGAGATTCGTCACCGCCTCGTCTCTCTAAGCAGGACATAAACCCTAACAAAACTCAAAAAATCATCTAAAACGGAGCCCTCCTGCCGGCAAAGGACAAAATCCACCACGCCTCCATGTCCCTAAGACCACAGGAGATGAGGTAGATCGGTGACGGTGCCGACGGGAGGCATGAGAAACAAGCGAAGGGTTACTCGTTCCTCTCTACTGTCTAGAAATGTCTAGTAAATTTAATTATATACGACCGCAACATCTTTCTTTTGTATTTCATGATGGAGGACTGGTTTCTATCTAAATATCTAACATTGATCTATCTGTGCCTCAAAGTCCAATTAATTAATTGCATAAATTTCCTCTATAATTTGCAGGCCTTCAGCTCGAGAATTGGCATAGATGTTTCAAGGGTTTCTGAACGACTGGGGGCATTGGTTTGATAGTAAATGGATTTGTACAAAATATATACATAATTATATAAAATGAATATCACATGGATGGTACATAGATGTCTAGTTATTAATTGACGAGAAATAGGGGATGGAAACACCTTAAGTAGCCAGTAATTCACGTCTAAGCCAGCGCTCATTTGCACTCGATGAACAATAAATTCAAAACTAGTAAAAAAATCAAATAATTCTGAATTTGTTTAGCATAGAAGATGCTCATGTGCACAAGGAGCGTGCAAATTTTTTGTTTCTTTCAGAGCCTTTCTTTTGTTTTTTTATCCACGACCTCCTCGAATGTCCAAACATAATGAATTTTTGCACGCACATCGCACATTCGAGCATCTTGGATGGAAAATTTTATTAGAATTTTTTATTTTATTTTGCTATTTTATTTAAATTTGATGTTCATGTCCAGGTGCAGACGCACCTAGGCAGAATCGCCGCACTCTTAATTAGGTCTACACCTGAGCACTGAATCACCGCATTCTTAGTTAGCTCGTTATTGTCTTCTCCATGTTAATTTCACAACGTGATGTATGACAAAGATTTTGATCGATCTTCGATCAAGAGTCACCTGTAGAAATTTATAGTAACATGTTTTGGGTTGCCATAGTTTGTTATGCATTGTTAATTATTCCCTCCGTTTCACAATATAAGACTTTTTTTCAAGGTAACATAGCTTGGAAAAACGTTTTATGTTGTGGGACGGAGAGAAGTGTTCTATCTTATCTCGCCCTTCTAGATTTAGTGTTGTATAAACTGAACATTCTTTTGAAAATGCTTGTCTTGTCTGGTGATCTAAATGTGCAGCTCCGACTTTTTTCACATGAAAATCAGGCACCGTCGTGCATGCGCAGCGATAGGGTCCTCAGGTACACCGATGGAGCCAACGCGACTCCTCCCAAGGAGCTCGTCAGCAACAATGATATAGGTGGAACCAATAAGGTGACAAACCACGAGTGTGAGTCTTGGGTTGAGCAAGACCAAGTGACGTGGAGTTCAATGCTTGCGTCAGTATCACCAGAGCTGCTCGAGTAGGTGTGGGGTTGTGTCAACCATGGTGAGCCCTGGTCTACCTTTGGGGTGCATGTTCTCCTCTCATCCATGTAATTGGCAAATCTGAGGAAGAATGTCTCTCGGTAAATGACTACATAAAAAAGTAAAGGAATTCACCGATACTATGGCCATGCTAGTATCTCCACTCGCTCTCGTCGAAGACGACATGGTCTCCTATGTGTTATGTGGCCTTGGATCTAACTACAATCCCCCGTTGTCGTTGATTACAACTCAAACAAAACCGCTATCCCTTGGTGAGTTGTATTCTCGTCTACTTTCTTTTCAAATCATGTTGGGGCGGCAATACCTCTCCTTCCAGGGCAACTCTTCAGGCAACTTTACCCCACCTGGCCGTGGTGGCGCGAAACATGTCATAAATCTCAGAACCCAATAGGGGGTATTAAGAGATGCACTTTCACAATGTTGCAAGCTCCAAATTGATCTAAGCATTATGTATTTATTAAGGTGAGTTGTTAATAAGATATAGAATTTAGGGTGTATTAAGAGATGCACTTTCACAATGATGCACTTTCACAATGATGCAAGACTTTGATCTTTCCGTGCAAGATTTTGTGTGTCGGTGTTAATTGTGTGCATCCTAGTAGTGATCATTATGTTTTATATCCCCTCGATGCTCCATTTGACTCAATAAAATCCACCCTTTATAAAAAAAATCGGTGTTATACGACCTGGATAGGCTAGTTAGTTCATTTGGGTACAACTAGTTAGTTATAACCCTAACAAACCACAACTTGTATCAAAGCAGACCGAGCTTCCCCGTCGTGTCAAAGTTGGGCTAGCCCATATATCTAAGGGGAGGGTAGTGCGTTGTGTACCAATTTGCCTTTTAAACAACGCCTTAAGTGCCAAATAGGAGTTGTGTCTTCATTGTCCGTCCAGTCGTTTGATGAGTGTTTGAGGGTCCGGTTGTAGATGCTCACGAAGACTATACCTTGCTTATAGCGAGTATAGCTTCCGTCTCGCAGAAGCATTTTAGTCCCCCTCGTAAACTAGGCCAGCCCGTTTCGGTTGTTGGCGACGTTCACGTTCGATCGCTCGTTGTAGGTGCAGGTTCATTCGAGTTGTTTGCCTTTTTTGTTTCTATAAGTTTTCTCATTCGGTTTCTTTGTTTCTTCACAGTTTTCTTTGGTATTTCTATTTTCTTTTTGTACTTTTTCTTCCCTTTTCCTGTGATTTTTTGCTTTATTTCTTTCATAGTTTCTCTGTGTTTTCTATTTTTCTCCTTTTGTTTTTTCCAGATATCTTTGTTTATTTATGGTTTTGTTTGGTTTTTGTGGTTTCTTCACAGGTTTTCTTCGTTTCTTTTAGGGTTTTTCGATTTTAATTGGTTTTTTGCTTTTCTTTCTAACTTCGTTCATTTTTCTTTCTTTCTTTCTTGATTTTGTTCGTTTTTCTTTGTTTCTTTCTTCCGTTTCTTTGGTTTTCACTAGTTTTCTTTGTTTCTTCAACATATCAGGAACAATTTTAATACATGTTTAATTTTGATACACGGTCAACATTTACAAAATATATTTTTATATTTTTTAATACACTATCTACATTTTTCATCTAAATCGGTAGAAAATATATATATTTAACACTTTTTGAAATAGATTATTAGCATATTTACAAAATTTTGTGTTCCACAACAAAAAAAATCGTACACATTGTACGTTTTTGGTATATACCTGGAAGATTTGTTTATAGATGTTTAACATTTTTATACGCGATAAAATTTTTTCAAATTTTTTGTGTTTATGTACAATGTTGGTATGCATGTTCTACATATTTCATCTCTATCAGGAAAAATTGTTTTATACACATGCGACATTTTTTAAATACAACATCAACATTTTTTCATACATATCGTATTTTTTTAACATATTTTTTACATACATGAGAAACATTTTTTATACACACTTAACATTTTTCAAGTGGTTGATTAACATTTTCCAAATACCTGATTGATATTTTTCAAATAGTTGATTAACATTTTTTTAATACACGATAAACTTTTTTCATTTTTATATCAGGAACTTCTGTTTTAAACTCTTTAGAATTTGGAAGTATAAATTTAAATTAAAAATAAGGCAAAAATGAAAACAGTAAAGTAAAAAAAAAAACAGAAAAAACAAGGCAGTGGCCTCCGGCGCGCCAGTTTAGGGAGGCGCGTAAAGTGAGCCATCACTCTCTGTCACGCTTGAATCGAAAGATCCTATTTGGCAGGCAGGCCGCGCGGGAGTAGCCTAGCGCGCCCTCTTCCGGCGCTTTATCCAGTGTTTGGGCTGGCCCATTTAGGGTAGATCCCCCACCGGTTTACGGAAGGTTCTAGAACCTTTCTTGAACCGAGATTTGGTTTCCCTCTATTTTTTTACTTCGTAATTTTATTATGTTTTAATTTTTTCCTTTTCTATTTTTAATTTCTCCTTATTTTTCATTCTTTTTATATTTTCCTTTTCCTTTTTTCGAATGTTTCAAAAATTCGCAAGCACTTTTGGAATCTCTTGAAAACATATTGAATCAACAATCTTTTTTAAAATTTGGGCTCATTTTTGGAAAATTGGGGAACATTTTTTGGCAATGCATGAACATTTTTGGAATTCATGAGTTGTTTTTTAATCAACAATTGTTTTGTAACTATAATTGTTTTTCGAAATTTGGGAACAGTTTTGAAACTTGAAAAGATTGTTTTGTTTTGTGTGAACATTTTCAGAAATTTAAGGAACATTATTTTTTTTTCCAAAATTTTATTCAAATTCATGGAGATTTTTTGAATACATGAACATTGCTCAAAATCGTGATTAGTTTTCGAATATGTGAACATTCTTTCTAAATAATGAATTTTTTAATGGGTGAACGTTTTAAGATTCATCGAACGTGTCTTTTGAAATCACAAACATTTTGTTCTTCTGGATTCACAATCCTTTGATGATTTCTTGACTATTTTATATGAATTTGCAATTATTGACACATTTAGAATTACTTTGAAATCCCAAATTAGTTTAAAAATTTAAAAATAAAAAAGAAATAAAACGGGAAATAAAAAGAGGGGTTGCACCTCCCCTCGCATGGGCCAGCTCAACAAGGAGCCGGTGGGGGCGGGGTGGGTGGCGTGTTGCGCGTTTCCACGACTTCCAGCGCCCAGGTCGCCAGATAGGAGTTTTGAAATGAGACATAGTCGTGTCCTTAGATTTTCTATTTTGAGAAATACATTTAATTTCATTCATATTTATAACAATTACAGGTACACTGATATGGATTTAAGATCCAAAAAAAATATAAAGTAACTCATATTATTAAGAATTATAATGAAATCTCTTGAAAACATCTTCACTTTATCAATCTCTTCTAGAAAATCCAAAGACTTCGGTAAAAAAAAAGGGTGTAACTGGACTTGAATAGCGATGTTGTTACTTTTACCTGCACAAACATTATAGATAATGAATTTTGAAAGCTCCTTGAGTCGTCCATCCAGAAAGGTGGAAAGCATTGATCGACGAACGTACTTGGACCGGGGATGATCTCCTAGAATTGTAGGCCGTCGGATCATAATATGCTCACCATGATATCTATGAAAAATTTCAACTCCATAAGGAATCAAACCAACAACAAATGTTTGACACACCAACGTAAACTCATCAGATCCAATTAAAACGAAGAACTCTCTAACCTCATGACACCGTCAAATGAAAAAAGTAGAACTCTTGCTCTGATTGGCAAATAGTTCGCTATGTCGCGCCAGTAGATGTTAAGGAACAAAAAAAAAAATTCTAGGCTGAATTTCCCTAAAACAAAAAAAATTGTAGGCTGAAATGCTGATGGCCCAACAACCCAAGGCCTGGCAAAGTGCCGCCACTCCCACTCCCACCCTCGCCGGCGCTCCCCTCCCCTACCCAAGCTCGCCCCCAACCCC